AGGACATTTATACTTCCGGAAGACATTGTTTTGACCTTAGTTTAGCCAAGGTCAGGTCACAGGACAGCTATACTTCCGGAAGACATTGTTTTGACCTTAGTTTAGCCAAGGTCAGGTCACAGGACAGCTATACTTCCGGAAGACATTGTTTTGACCTTAGTTTAGTCAAAGTCAGGTCACAGGACAGCTATACTACCGGAAGAGTTTGTTTTGACCTTAGTTTAGCCAAGATCAGGTCACAGGAGAGCTATACTTCCAGATTAATCAGTTTGCTTTAAAACAAAGCTATTGTTTTTTATCTAGTTACTTGTTATTCCAAAGTCAACTTGTTATTAGAGATGATACAGCGTTTATCATTATGATGTTGTTCTTGTTTTTAATATTTTTACCCTGATGGATACTAACAGGAAAACTTTTTTTTAAAAAACTATATCTATCACAGAGTTAAAGTCTTAATAAATGGACTAAAATAAAAACGAGTAGTGTGCTCGGACTTTGAGGCCGGAGTGTGATACACGGTCAAGTGACGTTCAAATCTCACCATCTGGTAAAGTGTGCTCGGACTTTGAGGCCGGAGTGTGATACACGGTCAAGTGACGTTCAAATCTCACCATCTGGTAAAGCGAGAGTAGCCTGTCCCTCAGTGGTAAGTCTACGGACTTGTAACGCTTAAATCCGGGGTTCGATTCCCTCCGATGAACACAGCAGATGGCTTTACTCTAACCAAATCAAACAAGTGACTATCCACCTTCCATCTAGTTTATAAGTTCACAAGTAGGGGCGCCTGGGCGCAGATTGCCGCCATTCGTAAAGCTGTGCGCGAAATTCTTTAAACAAAACAAAAAAAAACCTAACATATTGATAATTTTAGAGATTTCCCTAGGAAGTTACGTAACGTCTTTTTCCGGTATTGTAGATTTATCAAGATAGCTAATGTAGAAAGTCTCGGTGGACCAACGGCAAGTTTAAAGGCTTGTAACCCAAGATTTGGAGCTACGGTGGACGCAACGTAGATGACCCATTGTGTAACTTCGCGTTTAAATAACTCAAATAACCAAAGTTACAGAAATACATGAATTATTTCCTTAAAATAAGCTCTTGAAACCGTACACAAGACGTTTTAATGTAATGTTTTACTCACACTGACGACAGGAACTTGAACTCACACGAAGTAAAGCTAAAAGCGTGTTAAACGAAACGACAGGAACATATAACTGTAGATACTCGTAACTCACACGAATTAAAGCTAAAAGCGTGTTAAACGAAACGACAGGAACATATAACTGTAGATACTCGTAACTCACACGAATTAAAGCTAAAAGCGTGTTAAACGAAACGACAGGAACATATAACTGTAGATAACGTAACTCACACGAATTAAAGCTAAAAGCCTGTTAAACGAAACGACAAGAACATATAACTGTAGATACTTGAACTCACACGAATTAAAGCTAAAAGCCTGTTAAACGAAACGACAAGAACATATAACTGTA